CTCCCACCAAGTTCTACCCAGGTCACACGGGTGAGCCAGGAGGTGAGGCTGAGGAGCTTAACGCTGAGGGAGGCCCGAAAAGAGAAAACAAGAAATAGGGCCTTCTCGGCGGTGGCTCCTCGCCTGTGGAATAATCTACCTCCTGGTATTCGCGGAGCTCCCTCGCTGGGCACCTTTAAGAATCTACTAAAGACCTGGATGTTTCGGCAGGCCTTCTCACCAGATTATTTTTGATTTTCTTTTCTCTTATTGTCTTTTTACCTTTAATTGTTTTGTAATTTGCTGTTTTATTTTTATAGTATTTTATCTCTGTTGTAAGCTGCCTAGAGTAGTCCACCGCGACTAGATAGGCGGGATATAAATAAAATAAAAGAAAGAAAAGAAAGAAAAGAAAGAAAAGAAATGTCAGGAAGAACAACCTTCACAACACGGCCAAAGAGCCCGAAAAACCCACAACAACCATCAGATCCCAGCCATGAAAGCCTTCGAGAATACTTTGTGAAGACTCTCAGGAACAAATTTGTCACCATGTTTGAAAGTCAGTTTGTGCAATTAAAGGAAAAGTTGTCTTTTTGGGTAACTACACATCTCACTCAAGCTTCCAGACAACAATAGTTTGTGATAGGGAACTAGGAAATGGACCTGTAAGAAAGCTAAAGAAAGTTAACCATTTCAGTTCTCTGGCAGTTTTTTAGTTGTGACTTTTAGTCTTGTTTTACTCTTATTGGATGAAATGTTAATAGTGCTCTAATGTTGCTCATTTTTCCACTGACTGAAATGGTTCCTTAAAATAAACACATTTCGTTCCTTGACATAGTAATTTTTTAAAAGTTGTTTAAATTTAATATGATGGAACAAAATCAGTACCTAAAAATCGATGAAGGTGGTGAGAATTACATGTAATTTGGTGTGGATTATGTAATACATTATTGATTACAGAGGTTTTGTGACAAAATTGTATAGAATAAATACTGGCCAATATGAGATTTGGACAATTGCAAGAATATGTGAGAAAACAGATGGGTGTTTGCAAGTCACTGTTTCTCAATCTTTGTGTTTTGTTTCTTCAACCAGTGAAGGATACAGCATTATGATGAATGGTGTTTTCCTTATCCATGACATCTTGTTTGACCTTTGACCTCTTTCTGGTTGCCTGTTTTTATGCTGCTGGCTGAGCAGAAAGAAATGTCATGGTTGTGTAGCTGACATTATCTTTGCAATATTCCAAGCACCCTTTTTATCTCATGCACATCAAATATTTTTAACACAGTTTGTGCTTTTAAGTACCACCATGCTTATGCAGATCTTGTTGAGTCATTCCAGATATTTTCAGTGAAAATAGATTGTTAACAGACAGAGGGCAGATTCTGCTTCTTAGAAGGAAACAACAGTGATTTACCTCACAGAGTTGTTAAAAAAGAAATATTAAACAAATCTGCAATTAATCAAAGTATTAAAATATTCCATTCTTAATTGAAGTGGCAGTGCCCATGTTAAACAAAAAGGAGAGGGCGACTGCTAAGGTAAGGCCTTTTCAGTAGTGGCTCTCCAGTTATGAAGCAAACTTTCCAGAGAATTTGAGCAGCCTCATTCTTCTTGTCTGTATGGCGTAGTTTGACCATGCATTTCCTCTAGGTCTTTTGATTAATTCTTGTAGTGTGTGGAATCTCAGTGTTTCGAAAAACATTTTTGTACTTCAGCCACTCAGTTTTAAAATCTGTGTATTTGATTTTGTGGTGATGTGAGTTCTGTTCTCTTTTATATTACTTGCTTTTAAAATGTTTACCTATTTACACAATACAGTGCATTATATTATGGAGTAATGTGGAAGTGTCATAATGGACAAATAAATATAAACATGAGAATGCTTTGGGCATTCTAGCAACTATGGCCTCTGTGTATTGTGCTTCCAATGTAGCACCCCAGTAGTGAAACTTCTCTCCTTTCCTCTTTTCTCTGCAACCATCTTAAGCAGTCCAAAAATGAGGTCTAGAGAATTTCCCAATTGGGATTCACAGGCCTTAAGTGGAAAGGGGAGATTGCCAACCCTTTTGATTTCATTTTTCTGCCAGCTGCTGCCCAATGTTAGAGCTGGTCATTTTTGTTTATTTCAGTGCAGACGTTTTATGTGGTTCGGCTTCGATTGTCAAACCTGTGGAGGAAGTTCTAAAGCTGTATTTGTACAAGGGCTCAGTACTGAGAAATATTACATTGGAGTCCCTTTTTGAATGATATTCCTGAGTTGCTGATTGTACCTGAAGTTTCTTGTGATAAAAAATAATGTTAATCTATTGATGTTTTTTTCTGTCTCCTTCAGTAAAAATCAATGGCACAAATCAAAATGCAGAGTACATCAAACCATGCCAGACCTACCTTATCCCCAGCAATACTGGCACCATCGACAAAAGCAACAAGTTCACAGGTTCTTCAGCCCTCAATAAATGGATCCCTTTCGGAATCAGCAGGGGATTGTAATAGTACTACAACTGGCCTGGTAGATTCTGTGCCTTCTGAAAACTCACTGGGTAAGATAGTGATTGATTTAAATTAGTGATTTCTTTATATGCTATCAACTTCAGTTTTATTTTTGGAATGCGTAGTTCTCAAAGAACACCAAATGAAAGGAGTACTTTAAAGTAATTGGCTAAAACATTATCAGCACTGTTTAAGTGCTTTCAGTGAATTAGCTGTGTTTGTCAAGTTTAGCTTCTGAACAGTCTTTCTGGCGGGTACAGAAGCACTGGGAAGACCTCACCTCTTCTAGTTTGGCTGTACCTTTTACTGAAAAGTTTAAAACTGCACGAAGTGATCCAAGTGTGTTTCCTACTGCAGAACAAAATGTCTTAGACATTTTTTGGCAGAAGGTGTTATTCCTTTTGTATCTCTGTAAATAAAATGCAGTTCTTGTCCTTAAACAGTGAAACATTGCCCCCCCCCCCGCTGTGAAATGTTTTGTTGGACGTTAGTGCGAAGATTGTAAAAGCAAGCATTCTAAGGTTTAGATTTTCAATGTTTAGATTTAAAAAGATGAAAAGTTAAAATTAGTTGAGCAATAAAGAACAATTTAACAAATTACAGACACCTCCAAAGACTGGTGTATAACTCGTTTCAGTTTCAGGCAAGTTTATCATTCATAAAGGCTAGAGTCAGCAAATTAAATTAATTTTTAAAGAATGTATAAAAGATTTATCCTGAATTGTATATGGTTGATATTAAAATAAAATACATATTATAAGAGCCACAGTTCACAAATCATTGTCTCTACCTTAATTGTGTTCTTTCTTCATTTGGTAGCATAAATATTTGAAGACTGATTGTTTCTTTTATAAACATTCTTATTCCTGAGAAGATTTTTATGCAAAAATTAAAAATTTGTATGTTTATTTCCTTTTGAAGATAACATGGCAAACCCCAAAGAGAAAACACCAATCTGTCTAGTAAATGAGCTAGCCCGTTTCAATAGAATTCAGCCTCTTTACAAGCTTCTGAATGAACAAGGACCTGCTCATTCCAAGGTAATACTATATTCTGTGTATATGTCATTTCTTATTTCACTTCAGCAAATTGTTTAGCAAACTATTTCTTCTTCAGTGTAATATCCTTATAGTCATGAAATAGTTGAGCAGACTCTAAATTAGGCATGGATTGCATATAACAAATGTTACAAAAAAGAGATGTAATGAAGCAAAAAAATAAAAATGTAGGCCTGCATTAGTGTTGTTATTTCCACCCAAGGTTGTGTGCAAAAGTGTGCATGGAAAATGCTTCTGTACCTACTGCTAGTGAACTGAATGAAGGTAATATCCTATGCATTTCATGATTTCCCTTTGTTGGTAAAATACATTTTATAAAGGTGTACACTGATACTTTGTCTGCAGTTTCAGGGTGTGACGTTCCCTACGTGTCCCCAGATTCTTTCACTAACCTCAGGCCCATGACACGTTCCCTCTTTTATGCTGCCACCAGGTGATCTCTGTCAACAGTGTTTAATTAGAAAGATTGAGGTCTATGCTGATTGTAAAGTTGAACAAAACAGGTTTATTGTAAAGTTGAACAAAACAGGTTTATTGGTTACAGTTTGCAAAAACAGGCTCTTCAAAGACTTTAAAGTATTCAATAGTTTAGTAATAACTTGTTTCACTCTTAAATATCTGTAAGTTCCACACTCTTAACTGCCTCCTTTAACTCCTAACTTGGCCACACTCTCTAATTCCCACAGACAAACTCTTCACTTCAGACGCTCATCTCTGACTCTCACTGAATGACTGACTAAATTCATCTGACTCACCCCTCCCTTCTAGTTTCTTTAGCTTCGCCTCCCAACAGCTCTCATTGGTGTATGCAAATAACCTCATACATAAGTCAAAGCAGGGTGATTGCCACAGTCCTCCCCACTTAGGGTTTTCTGCCACATGCGCCCATATCATCCTCATTAAAGTTCCATTGAACTTTTCTGTTAGCCCATTTGTTTGTGGATGGTAAGGAGACAATGTTACATGGGAAATGCCACAGACTTGCCATAGCCTCTTCATTAACTTAGAGGTGAAGGAGGTTCCTAGATCCGTGACTATCTTGGATGCAAATCCCATTCTACACATGTAACTGATCAAAGCATCTGCCACTGTCTCAGTCTCATGTTGTGCAAAGTTATGGCTTTGGAGTACCTAGTGGCAAATTCAATAATGGATACGATGTACATGTTTCCCCTTCTGGTGGCTTGTGGTAAGGGTCCTACAAGATCCAAACCTAAATGTTGAAACGAGGTTGAAATAACGGGTAATGGGCACAGCTTAGCTTTAGTTTTGTCATTTTGGTACCTCTCCTTTGGCACGTATCACATGTAAAAGTTTTGTGCAATCCTTTGTTTCATGCAGGAGACACTCATGTGTGCTCCAAACACTTCTTTATGAGCTTTCTCTAAAATCTTCTCTCTATATTTTACAGGGACAAGTAATTGTTTGAGATGTCCGTCTCCACTCCTATAGATGTGGTGGTGCTGCGGGTTAAACCGCAGAAGCCTCTGTGCTGCATGGTCAGAAGACCTGCAGTTGTAACATTGAATCCACATGACGGAGTGAGCTCCCGTCACTTGTCCCAGTTCCTGCCAACCTAGTGGTTCGAAAGCATGCAAAATGCAAAAATGCGAGTAGATAAATAGGTACCACCACAGTGGGAAGGTAACAGTGTTCCATGTCTAGTCGCGCTGGCCACGTGACCACGGAAGATTGTCTTCGGACAAACACTAGCTCTATGGGTTGGAAACGGAGATGAGCACTGCCCCCTAGAGTTGGACATGACTGGACAAATTGTCAAGGGGAGCCTTTACCTTTGTATATCAGGTTTTTGTCAGCTATAAACCTCTCTGGGTGTTCAGGAGATAATGGAAAGGGAGATATTTTTGGCTTTTTCTAAATATGGGATCAGGGTGGCATTTTCCTTCTGTTCTATAATAAAGGAAGTATGATTAGGATTTTTCAGTCCTCAGACATGTCTGTTATATTAGGGTTTTCCTCTAGGCTAGGACATTTCAGGTTGGTTTCAGAAGTTAGGGATCCCAGTCTTTTCTCATGGACTATAACCTGCTTGCCCTGGGAGTGGGTTACCACATAAGCACTCTGCACATGTTTGGAGAGATCTAAGCTGATCAAACAAGGAGCAGGGATTTGGTCTGACACTGCTACCTTCCATATACCAGACCACCCCTGGTATTTTACTGCAACTCTAGCCATTGGCAGAACCACCGTGTCTGAGCTAATGCCTTTGAGGGTGATGTTCTGTTCCAACCTATTTAGGAATTATGCCTGTGTGATAAATAGTAACCTGGGAACACGTACTTTTTATATCCAGATACTTTATGTCGTCAGTAGAAATAGGCTTTCCAGAGTTATTCAATAAATCCTGATCACACTGGATTACAAAACATTGTATCACTCTCACTTCAGGAATGTCTGGGCTCTGTGCCAAGTCCATTTCCTTAGCAACAGTGCTGTGGCGGGAAGAGGACTCAACTTCTACTGTCCTTGATCAAATAACATAATTCTCCTGGCAAAACTGAATAAAATTGTTCCAGGCCAAACACATGTTTTCATTTGGTCTAAGGAGGTAACACATTCCTATTCCAGCCATTTATTGAGTAATTGCGTCAAACGTGCTCTAAGCTGAGCAAAAGACTTCTCAGCTTTCTTGGAAATTGATCTAAATTTCTTTCTGAGGTGCTCTGATTTAATTCCAAATCTGGATTACACCATTTTTCTATATGCCTCAGAATCTCTAGCCTGCTCCAGGCTCAGCTCAAAACTCCACTTATTTGTGATCTTAAAATTATCGTCCTCTCATTATCTTAAATCTCAAACTCCCAACAAGCCCTCTCAAATGAGATCAGGAAAGATTTAGGAGAATCTCCATTCCTATATTGGGGAAATTTCTTTAGGTTGATTTTTGAGAGATTTTCCATATATGCCTCAGAATCTCTAGCCTGCTCCAGGCTCAGCTCAAAACTCCACTTATTTGTGATCTTAAAATTATCGTCCTCTCATTATCTTAAATCTCAAACTCCCAACAAGCCCTCTCAAATGAGATCAGGAAAGATTTAGGAGAATCTCCATTCCTATATTGGGGAAATTTCTTTAGGTTGATTTTTGAGAGATTTTCCACGCTAGAATTGTTGTTGTTGTTGTTGTTGTTGTTGTTGTTGTTGTTGTTGTTGTTAGAGCGGCTAACTCCAGTTTCTTCATCTCTATTTAAAATTGCATTTCCCTTTCTCTTTGCTCAAATTCCCTTTGCCTGTTTTCTAGCTCAAATTCCCTAGCTCTCTCTTCAGGGCTGGCTTTCTCTTTAATTTCTAATTCCTTCAGCTCTAATTCCTTTTCCTTTTCTCTTTCTTTAATTTCTAGTTCCCTGAGTTTGTATTCTTGTTCTAGTCTTCATCTTTCAAAGTCCTGGGAGCTTTGAATATTTTCTCCTTCTGAGGCAATTATTTGTGCGCCCTCAGTTTCTACCTCACTTTGAATTAAAGGGTTTCCATTCCCCTCAGCCTCATGAGGTTTAACTCCCTCCATGACTGATTTTTTTGTTCTTTTGGGTGGCATATTAGAGTTAAAGTGGACTTTCTTATACTATTTTTAAAAGGACCTCTCTTTCAGCTGTTTTCCCCAGTAATTCTGTTGTGCTTTACTCTCCATCTCACAACCTTGGTTACTGAGTTTCTTTGTCTGAGCAATTCCTGGCTCCAGACACCAGAATAATTTTCTTTGTAACTTCTTATTTACCTATCACCTCAGATACATTTTGACCCTGGCTTCCACTCTTAGCCACTACTGCTCTGTTTCTCTCAGACCCGTGGATTTTGAGCTAGCCCACTGGTCTCTCATATCCTGAGGTAAATGAAGTTTTCTTTAGAGTTGGTTCCCTATCTTAAGTTCCCCCAGATCTGGGTTCAGAAGCCCAGCCACTAAGCTTTTCCACAAAAGCTCTAGCAGGTCACCCACTTCTTCGCCATAGATTCTAAACTAGAAAGGTACCCATGACTCCAGAAAATTTACTTTTAAACATTGGTTTCACTGGATTTCTTCATATCCCACCGCTGCCACTAATTGTGACGTGCCCCTACGTGTCCCCAGAATATTTCACTAACCTGAGGCCCATGACACGTTCCCTCTTTTACGCTGCCACTAGATGATCTCTTAATTAGAAAGATTGAGGTTCATGCTGATTGTAAAGTTGAATAAAACAGATTTATTGGTTACCGTTCACATAAACAGGTTCTTCAAAGACTTTAAAGTATTCAATAGTTTAGTAATAACTTGTTTCACTCTTAAATATCTGTAAGTTCCACACTCTTAACTGCCTCCTTTAACTCCTAACTTGGCCACACTCTCTAATTCCCACAGACAAACTCTTCACTTCAGACTCTCATCTCTGACTCTCACTGACTGACTGACTAAACTCATCTGACTCACCCCTCCCTTCTGGTTTCTTTGGCTCTGCCTCCCAACAGCTCTCATTGATAACCTCATACGTGAGCCAAAGTATGGTGATCGCCACACAGGGTAACCCTTGAAATGTAGTTATCTTTTACAAAGAATGTTCTAGCTAATAGCGTTTTTATTTGACCATCCTGTATGTCTGTATAGATGTTCACAGTGCAGCTGACTCTCGGTGAACAAACATGGGAAGCTGAAGGAAGCAGTATTAAAAAAGCTCATCATTCTGCTGCTAGCAAAGCTCTGAATGAAAGTAACCTCCCCAAACCAACACCTAGGCCACCCAAAAACAATGTTAATAATAATCCAGGTAGGTTATACTCTTATTCCCCAATATATTGATGAATGTGTTCAGATTAGGCTCCTGTAGTTTCAAGGATGTCTTGTAACATGTGAAAAATGGAAATAAAAAAAAAGGTGGGGTAAACTAACTCTTTGTAAATTAGAATCATATCATGTATGTGTATTCCACAGCTGAAGCCACTGAGAGTTCATACTTCTTCAAAGTTTGACTGTTCAGCATGAAACTGAGAACTGAATTAGGTGGCTGGCAAGAACATTATGACCAGATACAAAATCAACAGAAATGAATAAATTCCTTTTTAATTTAAGGCTGATATCCGGCTGCACAGGGCCAGTGGCTGCTGATCAAACGTTTTCTTTGGTAATTTCAGGGCACATAGAAGTTTGCTACATTGTGTACAAACTGCATATGCCTGAAAGTTGTCTTTAAGCAGTTATTATTATTTTTGTTGTTGTTGTTTAGTCATTAAGTCGTGTCAGACTTTGTGATCCCATGGACCAGAGCATGCCAGGCCTTCCTGTCTTCCACTGCCTCCTGGAGTTGGGTCAAATTCATGTTGCTAGTTTCAGTGTCACTTTCCAACCATCTCGTCCTCTGTCGGTCCCTTCTCCTCTTGCCTTCACACTTTCCCAACATCAGGATCTTTTCCAGGGACTCTTCTCATGAGATGGCCAAAGTATTGGAGCCTCAGCTTCAGGGTCTGTCCTTCCAATGAGCACTCAGGGTTGGTTTCCTTCAGAATGGATAGGTTTGTTCTCCTTGCAATCCAGAGGACTCTCAAGAGCCTCCTCCAGCACCACTATTCAAAAGCATTAGTACTTCGGCAGTCAGCCTTCTTTATGGTCCAGCTCTCACTTCTATACATCGCTACTGGAAAAACCATAGCTTTGATTATGCGGCCCTTTGTTGGCAAGATGATGTCTCTGCTTTTTAAGATGCTGTCTACGTTTGTCCTCGCTTTCCTCCCAAGAAGTAGACGTCTTTTAATTTCGTGGCTGCTGTCCCCATCTGCAGTGATTATGGAGCCCAAGAAAATAAAATCTGTCACTGGCTCCTTATCTTCCCCTTCTGTTTGTCAGGAGGTGGTGTGACCAGTGGCCATGATCTTAGTTCTTTTGATATTGAGCATGAATTATTCTGATTATAAGTTAAATAAGCAGGGAGACAATATACAGCCTTGTAGTACTCCTTTCCCAATTTTGAAACAATCAGTTCTTCCATATCCAGTTCTAACTGTTGCTTCCTGTCCCACATATAGATTTCTTAAGAGATAGATAAGGTAGTCAGGCACTCCCATTTCTTTAAGGAATTGCCATAGTTTGTTGTGGTCCACACAGTCAAAGGCTTTTGCGTAGTCAATGAAGCAGAAGTAGATGTTTTTCTGGAACTCTCTGGCTTTCTCCATAATCCAGTGCATGTTAGCAATTTGGTCTCTAGTTCCTCTGCCTCTTTGAAATCCAGCTTGTACTTCTGGGAGTTCTCGGTCCACATACTGCTGAAGCCTACCTTGTAGGATTTTGAGCATAACCTTGCTAGCGTGTGAAATGAGTGCAATTGTATGGTAGTTGGAGCATTCTTTGGCACTGCCCTTCTTTGGGATTGGGATGTAGAGTGATCTTTTCCAATCCTTTGGCCACTGTTGAGTTTTCCAAACTTGCTGGCATATAGAGTGTAGCAACAACGTCATCTTTTAAGTTTTTAAATAGTTCAACTGGAATGCCATCACCTCCACTGGCCTTGTTGTTAGCCATGCTTTCCAAGGCCCATTTCACTTCACTCTCCAGGATATCTGGCTCAAGGTCAGCAACCACACTCTCTGGGTTGTCCGGGACATCCAGATCTTTCTGGTATAATTCCTCTTGGTATTCTTGCCACCTCTTCTTGTTGTCTTCTGCTTCTGTTAGGTCCCTACCATTTTTGTCGTTTATCATGTCCATCTTTGCACAAAATGTTCGTATTTACTTTTATTATTTACCTTTAATCAAAAGAGATGAAATAATCCCTGTTGCACATATGGAGCTGCGGAACAAGATTTCAGCCAGCAATTCTAGGTGCTGAACTGTCCTAACTAACATTTTTGTAAGAGAGTCAAATTCAATCTTGGCCTCCTTTGCTACACTCAATCTCTAATGCCGTGTCAAACAGCAAAGGCAGTTATTAGGGCTGGAATCCTGTTGCATTATTCTTTATGCAAAATGCTCTGTTGCTGAACAAGTGGCAAAACTGGGGAAGAGCGGAGTGAGAAAATTTGCTATGATAATGCACGGAACTATTTGTTAGAATTAAAACTGGTATAGCTTTATTGGTTACAGTTGGCACAAGCTTGCTCAGCAAAGAGGGAAGCCATCAGCCAACCTATCTGCTGATTGATGAACCTCTCTTCAACCTGATTATTGGAGCAAGCCACAGGATGGCTGCACACATGACCAGAAATCATTGCATGTGCCTGTCACCTGGGAGTGAATGTGATGCCACAGCCTCTGAGCTGGGCATGTGCCTTTATCCTCCATTCCTAGATTCCTTATGGAAAGGGGATGGACAGGTAGACTCTCAGAACTGAGTCTGATCCAGTGCCCAAATCATCCAACAGAGGTGTGTCAAGACTAACACATAGTCCTTACGGAACACCCTACCTGCCCACCCAGAAATCACATGCAACAACTGATACTGGAAGACATGGGGTGAATGGGTAAAGATTGGGCTGAAATCAGCTGGCCCAATATGGCAATGACACTTTTTATTCTCCACTGGTACACCCCAAAGCAAAAGGAATCTGTAGGGAGCCTTGGAACATAGGAGAATATGAAGCTTTAAATCAAGGATGAGAACTCATGGCGGATTACATCATCACCTTGCATGGACATAAATGTTCACAAAAGGATTTAATTTGTTAGAACATGCTCCTCCAGTTTACCTATATATGCACAGCATTTTAAGACATAGCACTGACTGAATTTAAAATCGAAGCCATCTTCATGGCTGCACTAAAGAAGGAGGTGGAATTGGTATTCTGTGGACCTTCAATTGCGGTTCAGATGTACCTGAGAAATAAAAGAGCTTATTTCATTTAGAATTCATAACAGTATTGTGTATTTATGTTTTAATTTAGTATTGGGCAGTTTCATATGTAGCATCTATGTGTCATTGCCAAACAGGTATAAGCTAACACAGCTGGTTATTCTAGGTTTATAAATGAGAAAGTAATAAGAATAATCAATAATAGAAGGGCTTTTAACAACATCCATACCAAATTTTCATATATGCATCTATTGTCCTGCCTGACCAGCAGAGGGCTGTAGAACCTTTTAATTCACTATGAAGTGACAGTGTACCAACATCACAAGAAGATAGGCAATAGATTTAGCTTATTTTTGGAAGCACACAAGTCTTGACGTACATGCCATGTTTATGAAAGTAGTCAACAATTAATTTAACTCTAGGTAGGAAAATCAGTCTACATACAAATCCGAAAGAAGGGCAGTGCCAAAGAATGCTCCAGCTACCATACAATTGCACTCATTTCACACGCTAGCAAGGTTATGCTCAAAATCCTACAAGGTAGGCTTCAGCAGTATGTGGACCAAGAACTCCCAGAAGTACAAGCTGGATTTCAAAGAGGCAGAGGAACTAGAGACCAAATTGCTAACATGCACTGGATTATGGAGAAAGCCAGAGAGTTCCAGAAAAACATCTACTTCTGCTTCATTGACTACGCAAAAGTCTTTGACTGTGTGGACCACAACAAACTATGGCAATTCCTTAAAGAAATGGGAGTGCCTGACCACCTTATCTGTCTCCTGAGAAATCTATACATGGGACAGGAAGCAACAGTTAGAACTGGATATGGAAGAACTGATTGTTTCAAAATTGGGCAGGGAGTACGACAAGGCTGTATATTGTCTCCCTGCTTGTTTAACTTATATGCAGAATACATGATGTGAAAGACTGGATTGAAGGAAGCCCAAACTGGAATTAAGATTGCTAGAAGAAATATCAACAACCTCCGATATGCAGATGATACCACTCTGATGGCAGAAAGTGAGAAGGAATTAAAGACCTCTTAATGAGGGTGAAAAAGGAGAGTGCCAAAAATCGTCTGAAGTTCAACATCAAGAAAACTAAGATCATGGCCACTGGTTCAATCACCTCCTGGCAAATAGAAGGGGAAGATATGGAGGCAGTGACAGATTTCACTTTCTTGGGCTCCATGATCACTGCAGATGGAGACAGCAGCCCCGAAATTAGAAGACGCCTGCTTCTTGGGAGGAAAGCGATGACAAACCTAGACAGCATCTTAAAAAGTAGAGACATCACCTTGCCTACAAAGGTCCGCATAGTCAAAGCTATGGTTTTTCCAGTAGCGATGTATGGAAGTGAGAGCTGGATCATAAAGGAGGCTGACTGCCGAAGAACTAATGCTTTTGAATAGTGGTGCTGGAGGAGGCTCTTGAGTGTCCCCTGGACAGTAAGGAGAACAAACCTATCCATTCTGAAGGAAATCAACCCTGAGTGCTCACTGGAAGGACAGATCCTGAATCTGAGGCTCCAATACTTTGGCTATCTCATGAGAAGAGAAGACTCCCTGGAAAAGCCCCTGATGTTGGGAAAGTGGAAGGCCTTCGGGTAGTGTGGGCGGCATATAAGTTAAATAAATAAATAAATAAATGTTGGGAAAGTGTGAAGGCAAGATGAGAAGGGGATGACAGAGGATAAGATGGGTGGACAGTGTCATCAAAGCTACCAACATGAATTTGACCTAACTCCGGGAGGCAGTGGAAGACAGGAGGGCCTTGCATGCTCTGGTCCATGAGGTCACAAAGAGTCAGACATGACTTAACAACTAAACAACAAAGGAAAATACCCCATGCTTTAATTCTGTCTTTAAAAAAAGATATATTAATATAATAGTATGGAAGTACCTGTCCTTGGACCAGTCAGAATGTCCCTGCTGTCTTTCTTTCTAATTGATTCATCAGAATTAGATGGCAGAATTATATTTCATAATAATGTATGTTTAAGCAGGGCTCATGATCATTCAAAGCTAACACGGCAAGCCCTGAAAAGTTTGAAATTCCTCAGAAATGTGTTCTCTATATAAAATAACTTATTCTGTGCAGATTTTATAGCTAAAAGTCCATGGAGAATGTTAGGTTGTCTAACATGGTTAGTTGGTTCATCTTTCTGATATAGTCATGTGCAGAGTAGCTTCTGTATCACTCACATCTCACATAGAAAGTCATCAAAATTTATATGGAACCTCTTCAAAGTTTACAACAGTAGCACAGTGCTTTAAGAATGTTTTATTGTGATTCATTTTTAATTAGTTTTGTAAGCTGCTTATCAATGTAGAAATTGCAAGAGTTTTGGAAATCAAGTAGATTAATCCTGTATAGACATTATTTCAGTGCAATATGCAAAACTCCTAGCTCATGAAAGGAAGAGTATGTATATTAATTAGGCTTTGGGAACTGGAGGCCTCTTCAGGTCACCATTTGAATCTACTTCTGTTGGAGTTAAAGAGCATGATAGATGAACTAGTGTTGAGGGCAGGAGCTTTACAGCAAATATATGTGTTAGAGAGAGATTGAAAGGAAAAGTAAAGGCTAACCCCTGCACTGTCTTGTAGTCCTTTTTTTTGGGCCCCATGTTCCTTTCCCACTATCCCATAGTTTTTATTAAAAGGAAATTTAGAGAAACTAAATAACTGAGTTGGAAACAACTTGATGGCATGCAATAACAGCATTAGTGGTTATGTAGAGTTGAACACAGTGATGTAGGAATGACTGTAAAAATTAAATATCTCAGGAAACCATTGCAGTTTCCAGCACATTTATTGGGACTAAAACATACCTGGCTAGTCTTACATTACGTACATATTGTCCTGCATGGTTAAGACTCTACATATAGGAAAAATTACATCTTGTTTCTTACTCTCTGGGTGTTATTCTTTAACTTGGCAACAGTTGTACCAATTCACAGAAAAAACATACGATATATGCTCAAACCACTTACCTTCTTCTACAAAAATCTCATTGAAGTCAACAAGAATGTTTTCAGTTTTGAAAATTATAGCTCTGTGAACACCTGCAGTTAAATTTAAATATGATTTTTACTCTGTATGGCTTTCTGATTAGTTTATGGTTACAGAATTAGAAAATGAAAGTAGTATTGATTTTGGCATTTCTGATGCAGTTGTTAAGTGCTGGACATATGTTCTTATTTTTTGACAGGCAGTATTACACCAACAGTGGAGTTGAATGGTCTTGCTATGAAAAGAGGGGAGCCTGCCATCTATAGGCCGTTAGATCAAAAGCCAATCCCAAATTACAAAGCAAATTACAACTTTCGAGGCATGTACAATCAGAGGTTTGTGCATTTTCAACCACTTGTTTAATTGTTTTTTGAAATGCAGTAGGATCTAAAGCAATCGTGGAACAGGTTTTTGCCTTCTCATTCCTCTGTGTTACTTTCTGTTATGTGAACTCTTATCTGCTTTAAGTCTGCTCTGGATTCTGGAATTTCTTTTCTCTTCTGGATGAGGTTGAGAAGCTGCATCTGGAAAGTTCGCAGGAAACGGAAGTATTCCTCCATCTCAGTAGATATTTATGGCATTCTTCACTTTGCAGATGTTGTTACTCGATAGCATTTGGCTTATTAATAATAAAAAAGTCCATATTTTACAAACCTCCCATTTAATACATTCCTAGGAATGGATGTGATTTCTCAACAGCTGTTTTCTGAGAATAACAAAGCTTTCCTTTTCTGTCTAGTTTCTGCTCTTTTCAAAGTCTGAACAACTTCAGAAATATGTAAAACTGAACTGTAAGAGCAACTTTGCAAGAGAGAATCCTAGATCATGCTCATTCATTTGGGCATTTCCCCCTACTCCACCCCATCAAGAAGGCAGCTTTTGTTTTCTGAGGAATTTGAAGCAGTTAGATATTGTTAACATCAGTATGATCATTGAAGTCCATGTAATCTTGAGCCTGTTCTGCATCCCTGTCTCTGCCAATATTTTATTGACCGAGAATTCAAGGGGCATTCCTATACCATTAATACATAGAATCCAGTATAAGAATTTTCTTTTTACTTATTATTTGCCTTTTAACCAACATGAATTTAAATAAATTTGCACATAGCAAAAACTTCAAGATAGTTGTTTTTTGGAGATACTGATGGACAGATAATATAAAAATTAGGAATACCATTGATTGATATAAGAGTACTGTATTTATTATTATAATACCATCTCAAGACTTAAAACAATCTCAAAAAGTATATACTTCACTGTTACCTATGCTCATTAATGTTTGTCTAAAGAGTTAATTAGCCAAGCATCTAGATCAGTATCATATTGATTAACTATGTCAAAGCTTAATAGTAGTGGTTTATGATATATTTTGAAATGTAGGATCTCCTTGTGATAAATCCTATAGCTATGAGAAGAGATCCATAGTTATACTCATGAATGATACATTTTTTTTAAATTAGCTATAGTCAGAGATGCTAATACTATGGTTAAAAACTCCATCATAATACAACCCCCCTTAAAAAAAACCCAAGAGAAGCCCTTAAGAAAAATCTCAGTTAAGTTTATGACGCATGACTGGGTTAATGTGCATAGTCACCTGAGAGTAAGCTCCATTTAACTTAGTGTTGCTTATTTTTTACTGAGATTGTAGAATGCATTGCACTTTGATCAAAGATATTTGAGCAGCTGAAATGTGAGTTTTAGGTTTTAAAAAAATTCTATATGTAAATAATCTTTCAAACAAATGTTGTTCTTAATTTATTGTTCACAGTCTACCACATTGAAAGTATGGCCAGTGTACTGGAGCTGAAAACTAGTGTATCAGTTAGAGCTAGTATGCAACCTTCTCTTTCAAACAATGAACAGTTCCAATAATTCTGCATTTTAAAAATGACAATAAATCGTATTTGTATTTTTTTTCTGTCAGCACTTGGCATATTTTTCAAAAAACTAACTCCAAGACAGTCTAAATGTTAACACACAGGTTCCATGTAAGGACTAGCATTTTTGTAAATGAAAATCAGTCTCACAAGGCTTCAGTTTTGAGAAGAGAAGTTGTGTGTGATAATGTGTATACACATACATATATCCATCATTCATTTGCCAAGTTTTCTCTTCACAGAGTTCTAAATTTACAATTTTCCCAGTAAACATGGATCTGAAACATTGTTGGGAATGAGGAGGAAGCAAGTTGGAGTCACTTAGAGCAAGAAAAAGCATGGAGTTGAGTACCATCATCTTGGGGTTCAGACAAGCAGGTGGGGCAGGGATTCCTGCAGCACTGCTTTTGACTGGCCAGCTGCTGGAGGAGGCAGAGAAGGGAAGTCTCGACTCCTGCCCAGACTGGAAGATTGTGAAACAGGGATGGAAGGAACAGTGCGCTCTGGCTGGTGGGTGGAGGTGCCAGCCAGGGTGGTGGTGGGAAAGGAAGGATCTAGGATGAAGAGGCATGAAGTACTTCATGCTCAGCTCTACTCATATTCATTAACCTTTAAATAGATGGCAGAGGGTTTTCCTTTATTCATTTCTGCTTTCATTCATCTGACATGAAATTGCTGGGGTGTGCTTCCCTGCTGACCTGTGGCAGGGAGATGTCACTGCATGTCAGTGTGCTCAGTCACAGAGTCTTTATTTGCCAGTAATACCACCGAAGAAGTGAACATACAGGCTTAATGTGATTTGTGGAATGATTTAGTTAATATGTGTCGATACTGCCACAGGAAAATGTTTCTTAACGGCTCCTGTGTAGCTGGAGGAAAATTGCATTTGGGAAAGGAGCCAGGTTACACTTATCTCCTAAAATTGAGGGATCATGGGCTTTGGAGCACTATGGACTACTGTATGTCATCTGAGAGAGAACTTTTCTTTTTGGCAGAGTTGAATTTTAAGTCAAGTAGTTCCACCGTACAGATCAAAGCTTAGAAAAGGAGCTATAACAGTGCAGCTTTAAATGATAATCTGAGGCCATCAGAGGGCAGTACGAAATTATCATTTGTATTTAGCTCTGACTTTAGTAAGATTATCCAAAAGTGTTTATTTCAGTGTGTTCTTACTATTTGGTATTTTCTATTCTGTAATTTCAGCAGTAGGTTGGCTGCAGTGCTTTGTCCCATAAGAGTTTTCTTAAAGCATTTAAAAAAGAAAAATAAGGCTGTAACACCCGGATAGTTACAGCATGTTCTTACACTGTCTTATTTTAACATGAACCTAATGTTGTAATGGGTGGCAGACTTGAGTGCCAACAGAACAAAAAGAAACTTCAGAACATAGTAAATGCTTTGTACCACAGACGTGTCTCTAACCTGTGCCTTTTCTTACTACAAAGCATTGTTGTGCTTTGCCACTGTTCCTGAGCTGTATTTTCTTTTCTTTCTTACCCACTCTTCCACTCTTTGCTTTCTCCTCATCACATCCATTGAATCTGAACCCCCCTGATTTTACATTGGTACCCCACTCTTCCATGCAGAGATTTAAACCCCAGTGATCTAACAAATTCTGCGGAGTGAAATGTTTGTCACATTCTTTTAGGAGAGGCAGTAGGACTAGATGAAAAGGTATCTGTAGCCAGGGCCTGGGAGATTATGTATGGTACAGCAGTAAGTACAAAAGAGAAGCAGGGTAAAGCAGCGTGAAGAGAAGCCAACCTAGTAGGCATCTGTGGGAGTCAAAAGTTTTTATTTATCCCCTGCCTTTCTTTTAGCAGAGAGGCCCAAGGCAGCTTACAAAGAATTTTAAAACACAAGTGTTAAAAATATCAAAAATAAAATAAATTGTAGTCTAGAAGACTAAACATATTAATAATTTTAAAATACTAAATAAAATCCCTTTAAAACAATTTAAAAGCTCAGAGTAGAAGAGCAGTGCTTGATCACAGACCTAATAGAATGTTGCTCCATTCAAGGTTTGATCTGCAAGTTTTTATCCTAGAAGGGTCACCGGGGACCAGCAAATAGGTTCCCAGGTTGAGCTGACCTGGTTGCTTCAGAAGAGGCATGTCCCTGTGGCTCTGTTTGTCAGACAGCTGGTTGCTGAAGATTAGGAGGATGGCTCAAGACTTCTTCCCTATTCCCCTCCCCCCACCCCATTTCTTTCGGCTGACAACAGAGAATTTAGATCAAGAAAGCAAGCTTGAATGTGTTTCTGCGTTTCTGGTGTCATCTCACTTATTTTTTAGTGAACTACTACCACTGCATCCAGATTAGTTAAACTGAACTAACTGTGGCTAATTATATGCACTGCATCTTTTGTTTTTCCTTGTTGTCACACATACACTTACACATATGGTTTCAAGAGAAGCGTGGAATACAGCTGTACTGGTGCTTGTTTCTAAGAAAGGAAAAGGCGGAAAGTCAGCCCATTTCCTGTGACTTTTGAAAAGCAGGAACATCTGTTCCAGAGAGCTGTCCCTGGAGCACAGTGGCAAGGGAGCCTGCAGGTGATGTGTTGTGCCATTGCCAGTAGCTATCACTTCAGATAATGTTGATTGCTCTTAGGACTCCAGGAAAAAAGACACAAAATGATTTATATGGGCTTAGCCAGAAAGGACTCTATTTCATTGTGATGTATTTTTATGGGAAAGCAATATATTTTGAATCCTGATGATGTCCTGACTTAGGGTGAGAGGGTGTGAAGATGAGTGAGTGATAATGCCTGATTCGGGAAGGGCTGTACCTTTTGTAAACATTTTTCCCCTGTGCCTACACAGTGGCTTACAGATGCATACAACTATTCTCTCTTGCCCTGCCTTCCTCATTCATTCTTATTTCCTTTCTCTGCTGCTGCCTAGAAACATAAATTGTAAAACTAGAGCACAGCCATCTCCTTATGATGTCAGCTGCTTGCGATATATTGAAAAAAATGCTGTGTATGTTGATGGTGTTGTATCATATCTGTTCTTAGGGATCTCAGTTCTCCAAGTGTTGGCTTTTTATGGCACAGCCCTAAAAAGGGAACTATGAGTAAACCAGAAGTTTTTTAGAGGTACAGAACAACAAAGGGAAAAAGCCATTATGAGACAAGGACCCTTTGGAGGCTGACAAGGACTGATCATGACTGTTGGGCATAGATTGCTGGCTAACTGTTGTGCAGAGAATGAAAAATGGTGCAGAAGAGGAACTAAAATGGGAACATCTGGAATCCTGAACAGAAGGGCTCTGTGCTGTAATATTTTTTTTTGCAAATTCTTTAATTTTAAAAAAAAAAGCAGGCGAACAGTACACAAAATGGTTGTTGTCAATTTTTCAGGCTGTTTGGCCGTGTTCCGAAGGTTGTTCTTCCTAACATTTCGCCAGTCTCTGTGGCTGGCAACTTCAGAGGACAGCAGAGCACAGAGTAC